ACCTGCAGCGGTGTACCCCGGGAGATACAGCGCTGCAAGTGCCCTGCCAGTGTGGACGGGGAGTGAGTTACAGCGCTGGGGGAGGCTTTACAGCGCTGTAACTTGCAAGTGTAGCCAAGGCCTCAGGGTCTGAGGACTGATTTGGTTACTGGTGTTTCAGAGCAGAACAGTTTTATGGCTAAATGCTTAAAAATGCAGGGGAGAGCAAGCAAACTCTCACTCTCAAACTCTTTGGATTTGTGTGGTATCTCTGTAAAACAGAGTCCAGCCTTGAAATTGGTAGCAGCTGAAAATCTAAAAGCTCGTGTTTGTGTTAATGCAAATTACCTGGCTGACAGGGAGAAGAAAAATTTGCTAATAGCTGTTAGCAAAGAAAGCCCACCCCATCAGCCAGTAAAGTCTGTTGAGGAAGAGAAATCAGGGTTTAATCCTTCAGGACAAGAAATATAAAAAACAACTTAATTTTGCAAAGGGAAGCCACAGGTTAATTCTAAAAGGCCCAAACCCCAATGGTATTAAGCCAAAGGTGTGGCATGACAAAAATAACTAAACAAACAAAAAGAACGGGAGTACTTGTGGCACCTTAGAGACTAACACATTTATTGTAGCATAAGCTTTCGTGGGCTACAGCCCACTTCATCAGATGCATGTAGTGGAAAATACAGAAGGAAGATATATATATACACACAGGGAGCATGAAACAATGGGTGTTACCATACACAGTATAAGGAGAGTGTCAGAGGGGTAGCCGTGTTAGTCTGAATCTGTAAAAAGCAACAGAGACTTGCATCTGAAGAAGTGAGGTTCTTACCCACGAAAGCTTATGCTCCCAGTACTTCTGTTAGTCTCAAAGGTGCCACAGGACCCTCTGTTGCAGTATAAGGAGAGAGATCAGTTAAGGTGAGCTGTTGTCAGCAGGAGAGAAAAGGAACTGTTTGTAGTGGTAATGAAAATGGCCCATTTCCAGCACTTGACAAGGAGATATAAGGAACTGGGGGGGAGGGAGGGGGGCGGAATAAGCATGGGTGTTAGGCCCAAAAATATGGAGTATAGAACATTGTTTGGCCAGCTTAGCCAAAGTCAGGCTAACAGTAGTTGCTAGGCCATTCCTGCCTCCCTGTAAGACCTGAGAGCACTCTTGCTTAAGCTGCAGGGGATAAGATAGGAGGTGGGGGCCGCATTCTTGTACCAGATGTACTAGGAACAATTTGTTTGAACAGATGGAGACTCGAAGTCCCCACTCCCTGTTTCTGTTCTTTATCTGTACCGAACTCCCCCTTTTCTCTCAGCCTCTAGTGCATGACGAAGAAGCTGATAAGAAGCTGCTGAGGCATCATGAACTGTTTGTATTGTCAAAAAGATAGATATGTATGAATATTAGAAGCTTTTAACTAGTAAAGGGGGGCTTGGGGGTTTTAAGTTGCTTAGCTAGGACTCGATGGACCTGTCTATATAATCTCACTAGTTGTTGTAATCGTGGCTGGTTCT